GGAGGACTGACAGTACCACTGCCTCTGTGCTGGTCTATGACCTTCATAACATTGAAGTGAATTGGTTCCACCGCCTCCTGGCTCACCGACTCTCTGCCTGCCAAGCAGACACGTGGTAGGTATGATGAGCAAAGAATACGGAGCAACAGCAGGAGGTGACAATGGCCATGATGAGGTGGGCTCACTGAGGGCGGTGCCCTGCAGAAGGTGCTTTACCCAAAGGTCTTCCAAACCTGGAACTGGAGCTAGGCCAGTAAATCACCCAACAGGTTTAAAGGTGCACATTAACACTGGCAATGAATGTGCCTGTTAGATACAGTGAAGGAGGAAGTTTCAGATAACCTTCAAATTAGTCAATGAAGCTGGTACATTGGATTGGTTCAGATTATCATTCCTAGCTTCTTAAACCTTATGAAACAGAGAGAGGCATTGGAGCTAAGCATGCCTCCCCTGATCTTCTCTTTTCCTCCCCTTTTTGTACTCCAACTTTTGTGCACAGATTCTGGCTTGTATTAAATCAGAGTTCCCCACTACATCTGGACCCTGACTGAATGTAGGCGGAAAAACCCCAGAGAAATAAGCCAGGATGTTGGTTAATATACTGAAACTGAATCTACTGAATAATATACTGAATTTGGCGACAGTACGGCCTTCAGTGCTTAACAAAGTGGAGAGCAAGGTTTTAGTTTCTGACTGAAAGATCAATGAATTAATACAAACTTTCAATAATTAGCAAACAAATTGTAAGGTTATATTTCACACAGAGACACACACTGCATTCATAATGTTACATTTAGGTGGCTTCAGGTTGAGGCTTCGGTGATTTTTTTTCCTTTAAGTACAGTACCAAGTTTTGCATTAGTTTTGCATTTCACTACAGCAGCCAAGCAGAATTACTGAATAAATTGCTGAGAGATTGCAGGTTGCCAAGAATTATGAAGCATTACTCTATGTTTCAGTAGTGCTGGTAAAGGCCCTCTAGGGCCACATATAAGTCTCTGCTTGACTTCTTTTAGGCTTGGAGGTACTTTAGAACCAGCACACTTTAGAACCACTCAGGTGGAAACCAAAGCCTACTGACAATCCATTGCATGTTTAATATAGCCTTCTTGAACTATTGCCCAGATTCTTAATTTTAAGCTTCCAGATCATAAAGTTGTTAAGAAACATCAGGATTACAGTAGGCACAGATGGCATTAAAGTTGGGGTTACCTGAAATAGTATAGTTCCACATTCTGTCTATTTGCATGCTATTTTAAGACTCGTGTACCAAACAGATGCAAAGGAAGAGTTTAGACTTCTGATTTTTCTCCCCATGCTCCTAACATTTATATTTTTTGACATGTTTTCCAATCAACCAAATGCTCACTTGTATATCTTGAACAGAAAGTTCATATTAATCAAATCAAAATCATTACGTAGCCTTCAAACTACAGTAATTATCACAAGCCACTTTCATTTTAGACATTTCCCAGCTTGAGGTTGTCTCATTTCAGCCATTAAATCTCTAGTTATATATTGAGGGTTCCCTTAGTATGATACTTTGCTCTTTGCAATAGGTTTCTGACATTAATAGCAGCTTCTTTCAATTTTAAGAGTGTGTCTGCCTGCTACTTACTGAGATATACTCTGCATTATTTATTTAAACTTTATATTCTTTAGCCTTTCCATTAAAATAACACTCCAGGCACTTATTCCAGTCCCAAACAGTACAAATAGAACACTTTTGAAATCCTTTGACATCTTCATTTTCAACAAATCTCGACAAAATGTCCTTGAAAATATATCTCCCAAAACTGGGCTCTGGAGTTAATGCAGACCTCAGTGAAACAGTACAGAGTAGAACAGGCCTTCAGGGCATAGAGACCATACATGGATTGTGGCCCTTTGCCTAAGTTTTTGTGGTTCACAGTGGACTTTCAGCTTGCATGCTTGCTTGCTGACATTGTATATCACACAATAGTCAAAGTTTTGCACTTGTGGCCTGTCTCTTTGCTGTGCTGTTCCTTTAAGAATTGGAAATTGCTTTGCATGTAAATATCCATTCTCCTTTGACCAGTATTCTACAAGGTGAACAAGGAAATTGGCTTGACAGCTGTTTAACTTGGATTATGCTCAGTCTATACCAATCTGTGCTTTTATTTTCAAGGAAAAGCAGTTGTATGGGGCCCTAATCCAGAATATATTCCTCATTTCATGAGGACCCCATATCAGTTTTTCACTAAAATTTCCTCTCAACTTATTTTATATCTAACATCCCTACTTGCAGTATCTTCAAACCAAGTACAGCCCATTACTGATACAATGAAAATAAAAATTATGCACTCTCTAAAAGAGTTGCTTAATATTTGCAATGCAAGGGCACAATTCAGTTCAGGTAAAGGCATTCTAAGACCACTGAATTCAGTGAGATGACATATGAGTCAATCAGCATTTCTGAATAGAAGGTCCAGGTTGATATTCCCTTTCTGATCACTCAAAATTTAATAAAAGTTAAAAGAACTCTCTCCCACTGAATCAAGTGAAAATTAAAAATGTTTTCAGAGCGTTGGCTGGGTGATTAATTCATTTTAAGCACTGACACCCAACCTTTCTGATACTTTACAGAATTTTAAGAAGATGCAATAAAGATGAACAAAACTAAATATCGAGAGAGAAAAGCTTTTAATTAGTCAGCCAAACTAAGCTTCTGACAAATCTTGCACAGAAACCCTAACACTACATTTACAGAAACTGCAGAAGCGCCCTTCCCTGGGGAACAAATTCTGAAGGGCCACACACGGAATGGCATATAGATAAATGGTTTATCACTTGTGGAATGCATTGGCTTGGTTCCAAAGCACCATGAAAGGCCAGAGAACATGAATTCATGCCATTGAGTGAGCTCTTATGCAAAACTTATTAGAAGACTTTTTGCAGTGCACCATATCAGAGGTTGACTTGCAGCATTAGAAAAAACAAAGAAAATGCAGGCAGCGGTAAAACAGAACAAAACAAACACAACACAACCCTTGGATGTGCAAAGAGTCACCTTCCGATCACTCGCATCCAATAGATTTTATCTCTGTCTAAGCGGCCACTCTGTCCATGCAATTTTACAGTAATTCATGATGAAAACAGAGAATGCATTTACTAACAGCACAAGCCCTTTTTCTGACAGGGCTGGTTTGCTTACCCATTAGTGTTGGGAGCACTCATGGGTGGCAACATAATGGGCTGGAAAAAAGTGGAGTGTGTGAACAGCTCCTGAGGCTGTGCGGCCACCAATTCTTCATTTTGCTTTCTGCCTGCCTACCTGCCTGCCTGCCATTCTTAAAAAAAATCCAGTGGTACATTTCTTCCAGCTGATTATGTCACTACCATGGTAACCTGCTGGGAAGAGGAGGAGATGGGAGGCTGCAGCCAAATGCCATCACCAGGCAAGTGCTTCTGCCCATGCTAAAGTGGTGGTGGCAGAGAAAGAGGCTGGTGGTGGCTGCCTAACTGCTAGCCCCACTTAGGGGGGTAGGGAAGACTGGTGCGGAGAACTTGTCTAAGCCTGGCCTGGCCAGGCTTCTAGTCAAAGCTAAGCACATTCAGTTCCAAATTGATTTGAACGGAAAATGCTTAATGCTTCCCCACAGAAATCAAAGAGATTTAACTTTGTCTGGATTATGCATAATGTAATCTCATCAGTATTCTGATTGTTTTATGTAGAAGTACTTCATACTCTTGGGCATACAATCTAGGGCTTTCCTCTTCAGCTTTATTTAAGGTGATCACAATTTGTTTCCATCTGCTTAAAAAAAGCCTAAAACTTACACTGGACATTTATTTTGGTAAATGATATACATCTTCAACAAAAATCTTTTGTACGTGTGTGTGTTTCCATTTGTTGTTTTCATGCTTAATTATTATTACAGTACTTCCTAAGAACAATGAAGGGCTACTGTGGGTAGTGATTGAAATAGTGGCTTAAGACTAGGAAGACCCAGATTCCAGTCTCCAGTTAGCCATGAAGCTGAGATGATCTTGTCCCAGCCACTATGTCTTAGCCTAACCTACCTCAGCAGGTTGTTCTGAAGATACAGCGGAGGTTATTTATTTATTAGATTTATATCCCATCTTTTTCTTTTTTATAGACCTCAAAGTGACTCACATAATTTTCCTCCTCCAGCTGTCAGTCTTATCTCCACAACAACAACCCTGTGAGGTAGGTTGGGCTGAATCCATGACTGACCCAGTCACACAGTTAGACAGAACCACATTTGCCATGTTGGTTTCCTTGAAAGAAAGGCCGGATATAAATAATCAAATTGTCTGTAGATGAACATTTAAACCCATACCGTACACATTAGGGAATTTGAGAAACTTCCCTGGGTGCTGTGACAAAGTGGCTGCCCATGTAACTGCCTAGTCCCATGTAACTTCTGGGCAAGTTGCAACCCTGGAAGCATTCATGGGGAATTAAGATGGCAGCAGCTAGAGGCTGCCTATTCACCTGAAGCTTTCCCAGGCAGTCAGTAAGAAAATATAAGAATAGTTCAAAAATATAAATTAGGAGAGAAGGGTGCAGTGTCTGAGTGAGCATTGCCTACCTCTGTAATAAATTAAATTAGTATAAAGTGAACTACTAAATGTCTGCTGTTTGGATTTCAAATCTAAATGTGCTCCACTTCCCTAGGGCCTCAAATTAATGCTCATGTTCATTCTTCCCTCTGAGGATACTGACCAACATCTAAGACCCAAGTAAAGGGGCAAATATTTCCCTTTTTATTGCAAAAGAAGATTGGTCTCCTGCTGCTGCCTGAAGCTTGTACTGTCCTTTACTCAGCACTAATTCAATCCATTTTTGGCATCTAGCACATCAGTTGTGCATTTTCCCTTTTCTTAGCTTCCTTTCTGCTATCATGTTCAATCTACTAACCACAAGAGAAGAAGTGGTAACAGATGAAACAGATCATGTGAGCATCCCCACTACTGGCTTTGAAAATTATTAAGCATGTGAGCGTACAGCTTACCTTCAGGCTCACCACAGAGTGTACACTGCGACTCTGCAAAGGAAAAGGAAGAGAGAAAGTAGTCAATAGAATGCTTTCTTTGCAGAGATCATTGCTTTTAACCTGGAGATTTAAGCCATTTTCTTCTCCTGGTTTGTTATTGCATTTGTTTGATATATTACAGACAATTAGGATCAGAGGGCAGATATTCTCTCTCTGTCTCTCTCTCTCTCGACAGCCTCCAGCTCTACTGACTCATGGCTGGTGGGTAGCCAAGAAAGAGGAACGGGAAATAAGATGATGATGGCTATCCAGGCATTCTTTTTAAATCCACGGAGGGGACACTGGCATACATATGGAGACTCAAGTTATGAGATACACACACACACCATTATTCCAGAGTCCAGATCACATGATTTGCATCTACACATAGCCCCTGAATGAATGCACCTGGGTGCATACACATGTGGGCTGCACTAGTTTCCACAACTGTGATCCCTCCTCCTCCTCCTCCTCCTCCTCCTCCTCCTCCTCCTCCTCCTCCTCCATAGCAATAAAAAGAACCAAAAGAATCTGCATATGCAGAGAGACAGACAGGGCTATCCCATCTCCAAATACTCTTTCAGACCTTTAGTACGACGGTGAGCAACTTGTGGCTATCTGGATGTTGCTGGACTGTAATTCCCATCAACCTGAGCCAGCATAACCAGTGGTGAGAGATAGTGGAAGCTTCAGTCCAACAACCACCCTGCTTAATAGTGATAAAGAAATTGGCATTTCAGAAGCTGCTTTATTAGCATTATTTCAGGATTGTGAAGGAGTCCAATGCAGCCAAGTATTTCTACACGTATTGAAGGTACCACGAGTGAAACGTGAAATGTCTGGGAATCACTAACAGAATACAAGAGGCATCTGACCTCAATCAAGAATACTACTGCTACTTAATTTTTATGTTAAAAATCACATTCTACTTTTCAGCCTCAAATGTGATCTTGATACACTGCACATGAGCATCACAACTACTTCTAATGCTATTTTTATTTAGTGCCCACAAAATATTAGGGATTGAATGTAGAAAATTAGTATGGATCTGCCCTGAGAGCTGACTGTCTCCTATAGAAGGGAGAAATAGGAAACCTCATTTAGAAAGAGTCCTGGGAAGCTGGCATGGGCGAACCTGTCAATGTCATCGAGTCCTATAGAATCCTTCAAGTCCCAAGTTCTTCCTCACTCAATTATGAAGAATTTTGCAAATTCTGACAAATACTTCTAAAGAAAACATGATTGGACCCTTATTCGTAACAGCCACATTCAATAGTTCCATGCCTTCATGCCATATCGTAGCTGTTAAAGATGAGGACCCCTGCCAGAAGAAAAGATGTGGCAACCCTAAGTCAACACTAGCATGGCTGAGTGAACAGGGATGCAAACCCAGACTTTGAGAAATGAGCACTCCAAGCCCTGAGCTAGAAGGGATAAATCTATCAGTGTCAGTTTCTCCCCCTGTAGATTACAAACCAACCAACACAAGCTCAAGTTCTTTTGTTCCAGATATGCAGAGCTCTGCGAATTCTGAAATGATTTTCTCACCCACCGTTACAGTTGGAATAGGAAACAAGAGACAAACAGGGCATGAAAAGGTTCAAGAAAGAGTGGGTCAGAAAGGCTTTTCTGAAGTGCTAGATTGTGAAGAGAGACCCCAAGAAGAAAAGTGAAGTGCACTGGTATCTCGTTTTGGTATCTAGGGGCACCATGTATGTTGGGTCTCTTACTCTTAAGTAGATAGCTTGGAAAAAAGGTGAGGAAGGGGAGACATGTCAGAGGTGTTTAAAATAATGCCTAGTGTGAAGAAAGTGGAAAAGGAGACATTGTTCTCCCTCTCCCATAACATTTGAACCCAGGGTCATCCCATGAAGCTGACTGATGGGCGGTTTAGGACGGGTCAAAGGAAGTCCTTCTTCACACAGCATATAGTTAAACCATGGAAATCGCTGCCATGGGAAGTCGTGATGGCTGCCAATCTGGATGACTTTAAAGGGGACTGGACAGATTCACGAGGGAGGAGGCTCCCAGTGGCTGCTAGGCTTGCTGGCTACGTGCTGCCTCCTTGACCAGAGGGGGCCTGCCTGCACACACCGGTTGCTGAGGAGCTTGGACAGGAGGGGTCTTGCACCTAACCTGCTTGAGGGATCCTGTGGGCAGCTGGTTTGCCACCGTAAGTGCTGGATTAGGTTGACCTTTGGAACATTTCTTAGGTTTTTGTACATTAATGGTGCTTATTGTGGAAATGCCATGGAGATTGCTAAGCTGTTGTTAACAAGTCCTTTTCTGCTTTTCTCAGTGAAGTTGATCATCACCCATTTTATCCTATCCTCAATGCCCAGGATATTTTAATTTTAAATGAAACTTGAATGGTTTATTTGTCCCAAGATGATCAGCTGTGTGCACAGTCCAGACCCACCAAAAGATTCATGAAAGTGAGAAGGCACTGATTTTGAGAAATTATGAGTTTATATCAGAGCAGGTGGAGCTATAGGAAGATCAGGATCAATTTGTACATTGCTGAGCAATTTGCACTAGGTTGGCAGAGTTTCTGTCTTCCAACAAAACTGCAATTGCAAGAGCTACAGAGCTTTCTCCTAATACCATATTAGGTTGTTGAAAAAGAACGCTTGAGGCAGGGTGAGGAAATAGGAGGGTGTTTGTGTGAAGCCTTTCAGCTTGGTTCTTCAGGTACTAATTACAAATTCCTCACTGAACACCCTGCTCCTTAATTCTTAATGGAGTCTATTCACCTGGGACAGTATTTTGCTCCTGGCTCTGGTTGTTGGTCTTCAAAGTTCTAGTAGAACACAAAGTAGATCCTACAAGCCCAAAGTCTGCACCTCCCCACACTGGCTCTGCATGTGTGTACACGAGTAGTACATGTGTGTACGAGTAGTACATATGGCTACTAAGATCCCTCAAGCCTGTTTTTTGTGGCAAGCTGTTTGGGCCCAAAAAAACTAAGAACTGTTGCCCTATCTTTGCTTTTTTAATTTTTCTTCCCTATCCATTTTCCTTTTGCATCGAGTTGATTCCATTATACATCTAAGCATAGGCACTTTGTAATTTTTGTAAGTCATTCTGGGAACCTTTTTGGCTGAAGAGCATGGTTAAAATGCTATAGACAAAATAAAATAATACAAAATAATAGTAAGAGAGCATCTTGCAGCTAAAGCAATTTTCAGGATGTCATTACTAGGTAATCACTAAATGTTCTACGATTTCTCACATGGAAGGCTTAATTTAATACTAGATAATTATATAACAATTGTCTGCATTTGACCAGCAACCTTTAACAGGCATGCAATATTTAACTCAGTTCTTTAGTTTTCACAAAGCAGCCTACATGATTGTAAGCTTCCATTGCAAATTTTAGCATGGTTATCTTAGGATGAATACTAAGAACAACCTAGAGAGAACTTTAGCATAATCATGGTTGTATCAATAAAGTACTGCGAATGGCAATGAGCCTTGCCTTCAGCTTTACACTGAGGACTTGGAATCACCGATACTCAGCCATTTTAGGTCTGTATATCACATCACTTTAAGAACAGAGATGGGGAATGGAGTTATTTGAAAAGAGAAATGGGCATAGCAGTGGGAAGGGAACAGAAGAGTGTGTGAAGAGAAGGCTCTAACTTAATCACAGGACTGGAGAATAGGGGTATAAATCTCATGAGCCACAGAAGATTCCTTGGAAAAATATCTCTGTCTCGGTAATTCAAAATATGGCATTGTTTCCTTTGAGTCAGCATCATCTCAGCATGATTTCAGCAGCCTGCCTGCTCTTGGGAAGTGCCATCTTTCAGCTGAGAAGTAAAACAAAAAGCACTGATCATTCATAGTAATTAAAAGTTACTGTGCAATTTCCAGTTGTAAGCAATAGTTTACTGATGAGCCTTCCACATTACTGTTGTTTACTTTCTGAAAAATGTGCCATTCAAAAGGAATTTAAACTTCCATTGTGCTTCATGAAAGGACCACCTGTCAACATCAGAGTATTTTGCACATTTGCCAGCCTATTTATTTCCATAGCTTGGGCAAATCTCTTATGGAATAGTCTCAATGCAGGTTTGCCCAACGTGGCCCCTTCTGGATGTGTCGGACTACAACTCCCAGGAATCCCCAGGCAGAATAGGTTGCCAAGGAATTCTGGATGCATCTTCAGTGCAATCTGAAGATGTCTGCTGCCTTCACCTCATCTTACCTCTCAAGGCTGACTTGAGCCTTGAGAGGGAGCCTGCTCAGGGAGCCTGTCTGAGTTGGAGAATTCAGAGGTGCCATTTTCACACAGCTCTGCAATTAAGATCTGCTCCTTGCAAGAAAGACCAAATTAATTTCTAAGGCAGCACAAATGGAATCCGAAACCTTCATCTATGAACTATCCCTTTCCCACTCTTGTAGTTGATTGAGACATTATTAAGCTCTTGGATTATGCCTTGGGGAGGCAAGCAAGCCTTGGTCTCATGTGGTCCTTCGCACTCTCAGCACCCCACCACAACTTCTTCCACACTACAGAGACTATAACTAGGTTATTGGAATGTGGGATTTATCTTACCTTCTATGATAAAATCTGACACAAATTAACTCACTAATCAGCATAGCATTCTGCACACTTAAGACAAATATATTTCTTCAGGCTATATAAAATATGTAGCTAATTACTACTCTTCGTTCCCTATTTCTGATGCTGCTATTGTTGATTAGCAAATTTGCCAAGCCATGTAGTGGTGTTCAGTTCTTTTAATAAGCCAGTCCATTTAACCTCTTAATTAAGTTGTTTTCCAATCCTGTCTTGGAAAATAAATTGCACAAGGTAAAATATGACAGGCAGAGTGTACATTTGCAGTGAGAATGTGGATATACTTTGACCTAGATGGGAGTCTATGTCAATAACAGCTGCAGTAAGTTTTAATTAACACTGTTGATATTTTTTTAAAAACACACACTTAGTCTGCTCAAAGCTGATTATTCGCTTTGTCAACAAACTTTTAAGGTTCATGATGCTT